TAATATATGATTTCCTAAATATGTGTTGTACGATTGGTTACTAAGAAAAAAAAATCCAATGATTCATAATTATAAAAAGAATAGGATTTTTATTGCTATAATTATCACAAAATAATTTTCAAAATTGATACCACTTTATTTATATAGAAAGTTGTTATATCAACCGAATTGCACGATTTACAACAAGTATGTATAATTTTATTTCTACTTTTTTAATTATAAATATTAAAATAATTTTTACTATATATCTTTCAGTAGTAAGTCAACCTATTTGATTACAACGTCAAAGTTACTATTTAGACTAGTGCATCAACCGATTTGAATATATATAGATGATTGTTTTGACTAAACACCCGTTCAAATCAAATCAAGAGGTGTTTATTTATAATTTTCTTCAATTCATATTAAATTCATACTCAAAATATAACTAACTTTAAGTCAACTTCTGTATACTAAATATTATTAATATAATTAAATAACGAGTGCGTGGCTCGTGTGATCCACGGGAAACAATAACACGGTTGAATTATAAATTAAATATATAACTTAACACCAATCTTCATTTCCTCATGATAAAATTCTTACTTTATTTATTTAAATTGTATTATATTTATTGGAACAAATTTTTCTTAATATTGAAATACATATTTAGTTTCAATTATCGATTTGATCCAGTCAATTTGACTCATAACATGGTCAGCCGAGATGCAACACAATTTATATCACATTTTTGGATGATTTTTCAAATGATCATAAATCCAATAAACATGCACAATTACCTAATTCAATCAGTCTGTTTGATTCAAATAATTTTTTTTCGTCTTATAAATAATTAATTTTATGAAATAAAAAAATAAGTTGCGATTCATATAGTAAATATTTATAATAAATGACAATATATTATGACTCAAAATTATAGAATGGAAGACAAATTAATTGTTTATTACTTTATATATTTATAAAACAAAAATATATATTTTTTAAAAACTTAAAATTAATTAATTGATTATGTAATTGACATGATGACTCGATACCAATATGGGTTTGAACCGAACAGTGATATAATGCATATTTATCATAAATTTGTAGTATGTTATTCATAAGTTATTAAATATCACGTGGTCTTTTGATGAACAAAGTGCACTGAAGATAAATTATATACCTATTTTATGTATCCAAACAAAATTCAATAAAATTATATATATATATATAGTTATAATTGTTATTATTATATATTGTACCAATATTTTGTAATCCAGATTCAGTAATTTTGCAATACAAGAATAATTACAAAAAAAATTAATTATTAAACTTTGATATCACATCACCAAAGAATAAAAATAAAAATAGATTAGGTAGAAATAAAAAAATATATTGAAAGTTTTTTTGAAAATTTAATCAATAGATATATATAATCATTGATATCATATTAACTAAAATAAAAACAAAAGCCTAACATTAAAAGATTATGCGCTTTGAGATGTGACACATTACGTGGTACCAACTACCAAGTACATTATAAGATTATACGCTTTGAGATGAAGTATGTACGCTCGTAAATAATCTTCAACTACCATGAGGAAAGTTCGTTCAGGTGATCCATAATTAAATTCATCATATCGGGAGGCCGTGAAATTAATTTTATATATTTTAAATAATTCCATTCTCACACTTAGTATTTTATAATTAAGAGATTTTCTATTTATTATAATTAATTATTTGTGCATCGAATAATAAATTAATTACCGTACACATTAAACAATTATTATGTACATCCAATAAATAAATATTAGGCAGATTAAATAAATAATTGCAATAAACATGCAAAAAAATTAAAAAATTCAACTATTATATGTGATTTTTTCTAAAAGATAATGAATAGGTTGTTAGTAATTTAATTATATGTAATTATGTGAGTGTGTGAATAGTGAATTAAAGATATTGTGATGTGTAAGGATGATTGATTCATGAGAAATGTTATAAGTATATAATAGTGTACATAAAGGTGTACATAACACTCACATTAAGTGGGTCCTACCAAAAAAAAAAAAAAAAAGCCTACAAGTACATAATAAATGTAGATGGAGGTGTACATAACACTCACATGGAGTACGGTCCACTTGCTTTTTTATTTTTGGTAGGACCCACCTAATGTGAGTGTTATATACACCTCTATGTACAAGTACTTATAACATTTCTCAAATAAAAAATCAATTAGACCCCACTCCATGTGAATGTTATGTATTTCTCAAATAAAAAATCAATTAGACCCCACTCCATGTGAATGTTATGTACAACTTTATGTATATTTATTATGTACATGCAACATTTTTCTTGATTCATATTGTTTAATAATATTGAGGAGTGTTTAATTGAGTTAAAAAAATTATCTGATCACTTTGACGAGATAATTTATAACATTCTGGGCCTAGGAGATTGTCGAATTTCTATAGAAGTATAATTCAAAATCCAAGAGAGGACAATATTATTAGACCTTGCCCAAGGCACCGACTCAGTGGCATGGAGAAAGTAAGGGGATGAGGGATCGACAGTCCGTGTCAAAAAACCTGTAGTCACCATGATTATCAAACAAAGATCGATTCCAAAACTCATAGATCAGAGTAAATCGTCATAGATCGGCGTATAGAACATATATAAAAACATGATCGAAATTAAGATCGAGACCTAGATCGAAAGATGAAGATAAAAATCTAAACTAAGATCGAGG